CTCACCCTGTATTCCATACGAATTGCTATTAGGGAGATTAGAATCGCTAAGCAGTTTGATATCCAAACGAAATTATATACTGTCGGTAGTTACCGACATCACTGTTAGGTTATCAACTATCGATATTTGAAAAAATTTATTGAATTTCAGTAAAAAAAAAAGATTTTTGACTAACCTTAGCGGTCTTTGCTGTAGGAAGGAAAAATCAACGGAAAACAATTTTCAACTACAAAGTGGATTAAAATTGTCGATAATTATCATTTTTAATCCCGTTCTTTATATCGTCGTTCAACTCAAGACACGTAAATATGTATTATTAATTAATACATGTAATACATAAATTTTGATTAATTAACAGTTAATTTTCATTAATTAAAAGTATCTTTACCAGCCGGCAGCCGCCCACTTGACATAGTATCGCGCGAACTTGCCGGCATATTCAAACATTTCGTCGCCGAATTGACGTAACGTGATGGACTATTCGAGACAATCGTCGCGTTTCTTGTAAAGGACCCCGCACAATTTATATGGACGACGGCTTTCAGTTAGATTTCTCTGAAATTAAAATATATTATTGTCCAATCCACCTTTCTGATAAAAAGTATCAATGGGCACAACCTCCTAAAGGCAATAGTTTAAGGAGCTACAGAGCTTCAAAGCCTCAATATTACTCATACAGCACAGCAAGGTTTCAGCAACATTGCAGCAATAATTCATCGCAAGATTGCAACATTGCCTAAACGCTGCGAAATGTTGCTGCAACGCTGCTGCAGCAACGTCTTGCAGCAACGGTAAAATGTTCGCCTTCAGAAATGTTACAATGTAATATTACAGCAACATAGCAATATAATATATGTATAATATTATATATACAATAATACTTTGTGTATACTTATATTAATATATAAAGAAAACAAGTTATGAACAAATTCCGGATTTTAAAAAGATCATAGGAGCTAACAACATTTTCGCGGCAATGTGTGAAGAACCGTAAAATCGTCGATGATCGGATGGGATATCGGCGATCCTTCGGCAAGAAAGAAGTGTCAGAATGTGTGATATATTCGTACATATACTTGTACATAATATGTTCCTACCAAAATGTTGAAAATTATCTTTGAACGTAACCCACACAGCATACTTTATTTAGGATATTCTGAGAAATTCTAAATTGTCTCAGACTTCTAAATATATTTTTCCTGAAAGATTTGTAATCAGTCTTTAACATTTCGATTACATACATTGTTATATAAATACCTATACTACGTTAAAAATCAATCTGAATATCAGCGCGAATGTCGTTAATATCGAACAGTCGAGGCCTCTTTTCCGCGATGCCAATTGGTCTTCTCGAAGCGCGGTGTGCTTCACTTCTCTTTTAGATTCGTAGTAAGTAAATGAAGATTTGCAATTTAGAAATATACATTTGTATATACACCAACTATTGAGGTAAAATCTCTAATCTTAGTAATTAGAATTTAAGTAACAACGATTTTTGTTCCCTTACATTTTCTCGATTGAACAGAATTAATCGTTAATTTAATCAATACCAATAAGTCCGCGGAATAATACGCAAAACGTAGCAACAGTCACGGAACAAAGTAATGTACAATAAAATATTAAGTACGGAATTTTCCATTGCGTAGATAGGCTAACGAATTCTCAACGTTTTTTTTTGTTGTTTTTCACTCGGCGCGGTATCGTACGACGATTAAGCGGGCCAACGAATTCTCAACGTTTTTTTGTTGTTTTTCACTCGGCGCGGTATCGTACGACGTTACGCGGGCCAAAGTTTACCTGAAGGTCGCCGCGCTATCATTCGCTCGCCGAACGTCGCGCCGGCAGGCGAGAGTCGCTCCGTGCGTGTTATTACTTTGGCGTTATTTTGCGTTATCGGTTTCAAAGACTCGATCGTGAAGAATGAAGGGGATAAACGCTATTGATTTACACACCTTTATCAGTAACAAGTAACGTTCCTCGATTAATTATTGAGTTTCTACAATTTGTAATAAGAAACGAATTGCGTGCCCGCGCCGCTTCGCACATAGTATTATTCTTTCTTGATACGCGTTCGCGACAAGTGCGGGCAAAAACCGCGATCGCTCTCTGCGAACAATCAGTGATTGATATCATCGTGCGATCGCTGAATTCCCGCGATTTGCCACTGCTCGATGTAATCGAACAGTTCGTAGTGGCAATCGAATTCAGTGACAATCGGACACACTGAAAACCGTAGAAGTGGCATCTGGATACAGTGTCAGTGACAAGTGACTTTACAAACGGAAGTGTGAATTCGCGAGTGAAGTGGCATTTGGATACAGTGACAGTGACAATTCACTTAACAAACGGAAGTGTAAATTCGCGAGTGTGTCGGCGCTACGTCATTTCTTGAAATCCGCGCTCGGTTTTCGGCCGAGGTGATTACGACGTGCCGTACACAGGACTATTCACGCGGCGACAGTTGATCGAATTGATTGGTTGTGTCCGCGCCGCTTCGCATATCGTATTATTCTTCCTTGATACGCGTTCGCGACAAGTGCGGGCAAAAACCGCGATCGCCCTCTGCGAACAATCAGTGATTGATATCATCGTGCGATCGCTGAATTCCCGCGATTTGTGTCAGTGATTTGTGCGGGTATCAGTGCGACGATGTAATCGAACAGTTCGTAGTGCGCAATCGAACTCCGTGACAATCGGACACAGTGAAAACCGAAAAAGTGGCATTTGGATACAATGACAGTGACAAGTGACTTTACAAACAGAAGTGTAAATTCGCGAGTGTGTCGGAGGACAGCTGAGACAACGACACCTGAGAGGAGGACACCTGAGTGGAGGAGGAGGCATCAGGCGCCATTGCAGATACAACTCCGCCGCTGCGCGTCGTGTCGGTGAGTGAAAAATTTTTTAATAAAGTAACGGAATCTACATTTTTAGATCGTAGATTGTAGATTGATTGACATTTCGTAGATTACTTGACATTTCGTAGATTAATTGACATTTCGTAGATTGATTGACATTTCGTAGATTAATTGACATTTCGTAGATCCGTTACGTTAAAATGAATAGGTTACAAATAATTTTACGTTTTACTTAATATATTTCATTTATCGATGAAAAATGATATCATAGAGTTCTACAAATCAGAGTATGTTCAGCTCATTTGTTATGTTGAAAATCGGTGAAATACATTACAGAAATTATGCGAAATATGACGAATATTATCGATGTATTCGGCCAACTAATCTCTCGTAACCTATCCATTTTTAATTAATGAATTGATATATGTATATAATAAAATAACATGACGTAAGATTCCAATATATTTTGTCGAGAATGCGTAAATTTTAAATTATTTTTATACTTTATTTGAGATCATCGTTTAACTGTAATATTTAATTATAATATCGGTGTCACTCGTGCGGCAAGTTGTTTTTTTCTGGATCTTGCGTCATTTATTTTGCATGTCTCGCGATACTCTCAAGATGCAGTCGGTTTTCGCGATAAATTTTTCGCAACATATTCAAGAAATTATTAATTGTTTAATTTCATCCATATTATAAATTTTAATCTTTTTTTGCGGAATAAAATTAAAATAAATATAACGCAAAGTAACATTTTTCCCATATTTATGTGCTTGAATTTTATATTAAAAAATCGAGTCACGAAGATACAGTCAATACTTTTGAAAACAGAAGTAAAATTACACTTCGATCAGATTTAGAAATTAAATTTTGTAAAATTAAGTTTCTCCTTTAAACAACTTTTCTCCTGGTCATGCATTTTTCGATACAATCGTCGCTCGCACATAGTTCGAACCGTACGAAATATTTGTCGGTGACGATAACCGACTATGGAAGGAGTTTTCTTCCTTCCTGATCTCTGGTCAAAATGACC